GGACACGATTGCGGTTTATAAAAGCAGTTTGCCAATGTAGATATTTTAGTTGAAAATTAACAATTATTATTTTTTTGAATTCAAAATACAATACGTTTGTCTGTGCCCACCCAGTTCGGTTTGACTTAAATTGCTTTAATTTAAGGTTTTCTAGTTTGTATAATAATTCAAACACTTCTAACTACCACACTGTCATCCCGACGAAGACTGTGATGGAAACGTTTGATATATATTCAAATTTTGATGCTTTTGAGGATTATAAAGAAAAGTTTGTAATCTGAACAACGGTCAGAAAGGATATTGAAGATGTTAATATTCTATCTCAATACCTTACATTCATTAAAAAAGAAGCTTACAGCTTACTGAAAACTTTGGCATTTTTATTTAAACCGATTTCACATTTCTACGCGAATCTCAAGAAACTACTACTAGACCACGTAATGTGTACACACTCATGGCGCTGCAAAAAAGTAAAACTTTATAAAACGATTCATCAGAGCACCAAGAATTTTATTTCATTATTACGTCATTCCAATACGGTACGTACTCAACGTTATGCAGGTAAAAATCATCTGGGAGTTGTTAAGTAGGTTACGAGTTTGGTAAGTATTTGTAATGTAGCGAACTTCACTCGCGTAATTTGTATGAAAGTAATGATGTTCATTTCGCAATGCTGAATAGGTACATGACAGCACACACACTAATTCTTGGTTCTTCGAAAGGTAAATCGAAAATGTTAGTATATACGGGATTTTATAATTTGCAGGGAGAGAGGTTCAATACAGTACTAGTATGCTGACATCCATGTCATCGTTTCGCAGAACAAACGAAGTAGTATCGTATCCACAGTATATGACTTTACTAGTCTTTCAGTTGCACTCATAGAATCCTACGGTATTTTGAAAGGGATAATAGTTATTACGTTAGTTGCACTGTGTTATTTTCTCTGTCAGTTTGGAGGACAATTATATATCGATTAATAAGGTACAATAATAAACTTGCTGTAATAAAGATTTGAAAAATTCAAGTACTTACGGCGGAACACTTTTGATCAGTTGTCACGAAATAATTGGATATTATCCTATGCATAAACTCACTAGGTTCTAAAAATAGCCAACCCTCGTCTACAAAATAACAGTTAGAGTACAATCGACCACTTCATACCATTACAAAGCATTGCAAGGCCAAATATATCACGCTCGTGCAGATCCATGGAAGAACATACGTCATGAAAGATATCTTCAACTAGAGTATCGTTGGTGAATTTATAGCAAATCTCCTTATTATTCAAAAAGACAACCTTTATATGATTAATATAAGGATGTTTTGTGTAGCAACGAAACTTAGACATCAATATCATATAAAGAGTAGACAAATGTATGCGATAACAAAAGATGGTTTATGATTTATGCGCAAAACGACACATGTCCAATTTCAATACCTATGTACCATTCAATAAACAATATCATTTTGATTAACTGGCAGAGAAGGAATGATTTCTTCATTTGCTACGATCTGAAATTCAGTTAACCCAAATAACAGACTGTTGAATGAAACTTTTTTGAGGACATTAATGAAGTCATTGATGGCTGGATATGTACTGAGCATTTCATCATTAAGAGCACACAACTTTCAAAGGCTTAAAACAAGTCTGATAAAAAAGAACTAACTCATTTTAATATCATACGTTCCTTCAGAAAGAATCTAGTCTTCGTACAGGTGTTAAAGCAGAATCCTAGCGATATTTTCTGGAATCTTAACGATCATCCGATTATGCTTTCAAATCAATAGATCTCGTGTTTGCGTCTTGTAGCGGTAAATAAATCCTTAAATTCAATAGCTCTGTGTGCCTTAGACATTCAGTGCTGACCACATTAGTTTTAATGGAGTCACCTGGGTGAATGCCCTTGGTCAAGCATCCGTACCAGATCATGAGTGGTAACACCGTGCTCAACATCCCCTGCAATCGCTAGCCAGATTAGATCAGTCGGTCCTCGATAAATTGACAACCTATCAGTTATATCTTCGAACCTCTTCACCTCTGTCATTCGATTTCACTTGATGTGTACGATTATCGTAAGAAGGTGTTACTGGTTAAAACGTTGTCAAACTTCAGGTACCTGTGGCTTCTTCAGTCTAATAGCTGCCTTCTTGCTCAAACTAACAAGGACACCACCAGTTATTTTTGCAATCTGTGTTAAAATACAAATGGATTGAAATATGCTTAGTGAGTTCGCAATAAAATTTGCTCTCCACTGTGATGAATCTACTGAGTATTCTCATACATTGACATTTACCTGACAGACCAGAAACGTCAATATCTTTAGTGGTCACATAGTTTAGGATGAGGATGAGTATATGTATGTAAACCACAGGAAGGTGAGTGTTTAAATTAAATACATTACTAAAGTGATCAGAGGGTGCTTGAGTTTTATCTTAATGGTCTTCCGCCAATGACGAATTATAACTTTCTCCGCATAATGCTGATAAGCCGTTTCTCTCACTAACGAATCTAAGCGTCTTGAGAATTGTATAGAACCTTTAACAAGCTCTTCTCCAAAGAATTTAAAGAATCGCATAGGAACAGAGCAAAAATATTCGTGGTTTTTGATATTATGATTTCCCCTCATTAGTACTCTCTAACCTGAATAATTCCTGCAGATTTTTCTTCCTATGAGTAACGGTACGAACCTGGTAATTGGATGCCTTGGTGTAATGGAAGCTACCTGAGCTGTCGTGGACTTTAGGTACAAACTCCAAAATACCTCGAAGCCATCTGAATAAATATCGTTTACTCTATATACAACCTACTGAGAACGCCAAGTATTTTTCACATAATTGCTCTCCAAACGTTTCGTCTGACATTAACCGTTTTAGATGTTGGCAACATGTGAATTAAAAACCAGAAGAGTATGGTCATTCTTGTCTTGAGATGACATAACCTGAGTTTGTGCCGTTGCCCTCGTAATGGCATCGTCGACTATTATGACCCAATCACCCTTAGATTCAAAATACCAAGGTCATTTTCACCGGTATCTAATCTTAGTTTCAGTTCTTTTCAGATTCCATTTCATACTATCAGCGAAAAGCGTTTACCGGTAAATACTCCTGATTCCATCAGTTCGTCCATTCCACGCCGTCTACATCTAGAGAAACGTGTGCCACTTTCAAAAGTCGACTCGGTTCTTCTTCATGTTCCTATGACTATCTAACTTATGAAACTATGGTCGACCGAACACAAGGGCACATTATCTTTATTTTAATTAACGCTTTTGTCAACCTAATGTCAAGATCAAAGCAATTAAATCATGAATATGAAATTTGACTGGATCATCAAAATTGATGTACCTACCGATTTTTAACTACTGTTAAAGAGATCGGCTTTTATGACACTAGATCGTTCCTTGCTCTTTATTCATATATGTAGTTAGCTTCAACTGGATTGGCTGTCCTATTCATGGTACTTGCACTGCGAGATCCTGAAGGACTTTAAAAGGATTGAGTGGACAGACGAAGAATTCTGTTGTTTTCATAGCTATACAATCGGTATATCTGGGCGTTTCCTAACTGCTGCAACTTAAAGGTCAAAGCACCGAAGAAAACTCTCTTCCAGAGTTCTTATTGCTGACCGTAAATTCAACTGCACGAGGAAGTCACCAGTCTTTCCAAATACATGATGGAAATGATTTCTCAAGTATATAAATATGAAAAGGAAAACGAAGAATATGGTGCCAGAAAATGGAGACTGTTCTTAAATCAAGGGCTTTACTTAAGAGCGACATACTTCTCACATCCAAGTATTATTAAATAAATTGATACGTACCGACATGTACATATAAAACTGATAAAAGGTACGCGTTATGCGGTTGATCGTTTACGGCTACAAAAGTAAGCCTGTAGAATAAAACTAGCATTTATAGAGAATTGAACACAATGTGACACTTCTAACAGTAAATAAATACCTGAAATAAAGTTCAGGAAGTTTTTGACATTGAAACAGCCGCACAACACCACGCACTTCAACAATTAGTTAGTGTAGATCCTATACTCCTGTATTATGTTGAGTCAATATGCATGTACATGGAGAAACCTACAAGTGTATATCTGCTTTCCTCTCACCATGTGTAATGTTATTGCTCCACCTATTGGTGAGTCCTTTGGTTCATCTGATATCATAGTTTATGTTCTCACTTTTCTTGACTCGAAATTTTGATGACGGCTAGGTCCTGCTTTAATCGACCGTATATCCTAGTAGCTGCCATAATAGAGAACGAAATTCTATATCTACATACGTGTTAATTACGAGAATTTCAGGTTCAACCGATGAATATCGAGTCCCCTTCATAAAGTGAAACACTAAGGGTTCACATTGATGATCAAGGACATTCTTCTGGATGGATTACATAACATTATGTCACCGTATTGAGACTCGATAATGTGGAATAGCTTGCCTAAACTTCGTAATCCAGCTAGATCTTAACTTTAAAGGATCGCCTTCTATAGGAAATCACGAGGTTCGTAAGCATACTGGGATTAAGCGGTTTGATTGGAAGTCGTGAGGCTCGACTGACTGTTTACTTATTGTTGAGTTTAATGTTTAGTTAGACAGACAATTTTAAACAGGATGCACAAACAACAACATCAATGTCAAATAATTAATATAGTACAAATGTATGCTATCATATTACGGCAAAAGAACATCGCTGTTAAACATGCTGACAGTCGTGTGAACGTCCGTTTAGGTAATAGTTTAACAGTTGGAGTAAGCGAAAATAATTTAAAGACTATAGTGGAGTTCGTGGGAAACTAAAACATTTAGATATCTCCCGACCCGTATTGCACATAGCTAAATAGGAGACGAAATTAACACGATATACGTAAAATGACTTGTGATGTGATGAGTCTACCACAGTTCTGGGGAGCATAAATGCATACGACTTACACGAGGACATGTAACTGCATGTAAAGTGATTTGGTATGCTTAAATGAAGTAATGCAAAATCAGCAATTATTGTATGCACGTGTATATTATCACCGAACGTTCAGCTCTTATTTATTACGTCACAGGTTTGTCAATGGAGTAGTCCCATTAGCTTTCACAAAATAGGAACTGTTTAAATAGAAGTCGGCAACCTATGTAGACAACTTTCATTACAACGTCTAGCACTTAATACAGTGATATGCATAATGATAGTGAATGGACGGGAAAATATTATCCCAATTGGTAAACATGAAATTTAAAAATATTCGATAACACGATTTTCTTGACCAGCGTTCTCATTGTTTGCGACCAAATTTGGATAAAGATAGCAGTAGTAAGAAAGGAAACATGAAATGTAGATGAGTTGTCTGGTCGAAAGTTTTTTTTCCATTTCTATAATATTCAGTCAGATGCTCATAGTTTGTCAACCGAGGAGTATGAGCAAAAAGCAGTTGAAAAGACCAATAGTTTCTTAAAGAACAAACACGCACACGAAGAACAATGACATGAACATGATAGATTGTTACTAGTTTTTAAAAAAAGTGAAGGTCAAATGGTATAACATAATCTGCTGTACAAAAAGAGAAAGGTAGCAAGTAGTTCTTTTAGAGCTTAGCTCACACAACTGTCTGGAACGCAGTGCATCAGTAACGTTAACTTGAAACAATAACAGAATTGTCATATACATCTTAATTTTTGGGGAAAAAGCAATACTTTCCCCAAAGTAAATGGGCGACGTTTACTTAGGACACATAATGATAAGTGGCAGCGTTACTGGAGTCCCTTTTCATATAATCTCGTTCAATTAAGTTTTCGATACGTTTCTTCACATCACTTGCCTACATATATACAAATGGAGAAAAATCAGTAATAAAAAATTACCCAAGATAAACAAACCATGAAGTGTGGTTTTGAAAAATTAAATAAAAGGATGCTATTTATACATGTATTAGTTACAGGATGATAATAACCAAAACTGTATCCCACTATTGCCATTACCATTGTTATTCTGTCTGAAAGCCAATAAGTGTTATGCATCCTTGAAGAACACAACCTACACAAAATATAGAACCCACATCTTATGAAGCAAAAAAAATTAGATCTCATAAAATCCCGCCCATTCGTTTTAAATATTTGGTTTTAGGGATATAAATTGAAAGTACATAATAAAAAGCAGTCCATAGAAAAAAAGAATACTCACTCAGTCATGGTATGGGTCAATAGTAAAAGCATGGTTGAAAGTTACTTCCAAATAATTCCTAATCCATTGCACATTTGTGCGAATTTGGAAAAGGATTCGTATTCATACTGATTAATTTAGTAACTAAGTTAAGTTTATAAAACCCATACTTAAATATTCTCTAATTTTTGTTGATTTACAAGTCGCTGAAATGAAACCATTTTAAAGCCGTAACTGGTAGCTTAGGACATGTGCACGCTGTAATATGATATGGATATGAGATTATACGACCACTAGATTACATACTCAATCAATACACAGATACAGGATTTACGAGAAAAAACATAAAATTAGAAAACAGTTTACTGATACAAACACTAACAGTCACACACACACACTCAGTTTAGAGTAGAAATTATTCTCTTACACAACACTGAACTATAGCTCCACCTGTAGCTCTTCTAGAGTTACTGCCGATCCCAAGCCCGGGTAAAGGAGGAGGGTTGGGCATGGGGTTAGCGTCCCCATCCCGTAGAAAACTAACTCGCTAAAAAAACGCTTACAAGAAAAAATAATTCAAACCATTTTAACTCTGCCCTGGGAGTTAGAAGGTCTTTATTTAGAAGAATTATGACGCTTCATGGTGAAAGCCGAGTTCTTTCGGAAGCCACGAGGCCCATGCCCCTTCTAACAACCAGAGCAAAAATTTTTCATAGGTACATGGAACGTCTGAACAATGTGGGAGACCGGGAAAATCAGTCAAATAGCAACGGAAATGAGATACAATCTGGCAGTACTGGGAATCAACGAAACCCACTGAACCCAAGCTGGACAGAAAAGGCTAGCTACGGGAGAGATGCTGCTATACTCCGGTCACGAAGAGGACAATGCTCCACACACTCAGGGAGTCGCTCTTATGCTGTCCAAAGTAGCACGAAATGCACTTGTAGGATGGGAATCTCACGGATCCAGAATCGTCAAAGCATCATTCAAAACAAAGAAGGAGGGGATGTTAATGAATATTATCCAATGTTATGCACCCACCAATGATAGCAACGACGATATTAAAGATCAATTCGACTAGCGGCTGCAGTCAGTCATTGAGAAATGCTCAAGAAAGGACCTCACCATTCTAATGGGAGATCTAAATGCCAAAGTTGGAATAGACAACACCGGATACGAAGATATTATGGGACGACATGGACTGGGACAGAGAAACGAAAATGGAGAAAGATTTGCAAATCTATGTGCATTCAACAAATTGGTCATAGGGAGCACAATATTTCCACACAAGCGTATACACAAGGCTACATGGATTTCACCGGACCACACTACAGAGAACCAGATAGATCACATTTGCATCAACAAAAAATTCCGAAGGACAATGGAAGATGTGAGAACCAGGAGAGGCGCTGACGTAGCTTCAGATCACCACCTAGTTGTGGCCAATTTAAAACTGAAGCTTAAAAAGAACTGGACAAGTGGACAAACAGCACTACAAAGGTTCAATACAGCCTTCCTTCGAGATACTGACAAACTCAATGAATTCAAGATAGCTCTCAACAACAGGTTCCAAGCCTTACAAGATCTACTGAAAGAAGAAGAAACTAGTATGGAGGACAACTGGAAAGGCATCAAGGAAGCACTAACTTCAACGTGTCAAGAGGTTCTGGATCTAAAGAAATACCATCATAAGGAATGGATCTCTACAGAAACACTAGACAAGATCAAAGAAAGGAAGAACAAGAAGGCAGCAATAAACAACAGCCGAACACGAGCAGAGAAAGTCCAAGCACAAGCTGAATACATAGAAGCAAACAAACAAGTGAAGAGGAGCATTAGAGCCGACAAGAAGAAATACGCGGAAGAACTAGCAACGATGGCAGAAAAAGCTGCTAGAGAAGGAAATATGAAACAGCTTCACCATACAACGAAGAAACTAGAAGGGAAATACAGTAAACCAGAGAGACCAGTCAAGGACAAAGAAGGCAGGCCAATCACCGAAATTCAACAACAGCGGAACAGATGGGTAGAGTACTTCGAGGAACTCCACCGGACATCGAAGCAACACACACAGATCTTCCTATAGATGTCACTTCACCAACGACGGAAGAAATTAGAATGGCTATCAGACAAATCAAGAGCGGGAAAGCAGCAGGACCCGACAATATATCAGCTGAAGCACTGAAGTCAGACATCGAAGTAACTACAAACATGCTTCACCTTCTATTCAAAAAGATTTAGGCGGAAGAACAAGTGCCGATGGACTGGAAAGAAGAACACCTCGTCAAGATTCCAAAGAAAAGAGATCTGAGCAAATGTGAAAACTAGAGAGGCATTACACTGCTGTCAATACCAGGGAAGGTCTTTAACAGAGTGTTGCTGAACCGGATGGAAGATCCAGTAGACGCCCAACTTCGAGATCAACAAGCTGGATTCCGTAAGGATCGATCATGCACAGACCAAATTGCAACACTACGGATCATCGTCGAACAATCAGTTGAGTGGAACTCGTCACTATACATCAACTTCATTGATTATGAAAAGGCACTTGACAGTGTAGATAGGAGGACGTTATGGAAACTTCTACGACACTACGGAGTTCCGGAGAAGATTGTCAACATTATCCGGAACTCATACGACGGACTACAGTGCAAAGTCGTGCATGGAGGACAGCTGACAGATGCATTCCAAGTAAGGACCGGAGTAAGACAAGGCTGTTTACCCTCTCCCTTCCTTTTTCTTCTGATGGTCGACTGGATTATGAGGACCTCGACATCTGAAGGAAAACACGGAATACAATGGACAGCTCAAAATCAATTAGGCGATTTGGACTTCGCAGACGACCTAGCCCTCCTATCACGTACACACGAACAGATACAGATGAAGACAGCCAGTGTAGCAACAGTCCCTGCATCAGTAGGCCTCAGCATACACAAAGGGAAAACCAAAGTCCTCAAATTCAAAGCGGAAAACAACAATCCAATCACTCTTGATGGCGAAACTCTGGAAAATGTAGAATCCTTCACATACCTAGGAAGCATCATCGATGAACAAGGAGGTTCAGATGCAGACGTAAAGGCAAGGATGGGCAAAGCAAGGACAGCATTCCTACAGTTAAAGAGCATATGGAACTCAAAACAACTTTCAACCAATATCAAAGTGAGAATCTTCAATACCAACGTCAAGGCAGTTCTACTGTATGGAGCTGAAACTTGGAGAACTACAACAACCACCATCAAGAAGGTGCAAGTATTTATAAATAGCTGTCTTCCGAAGATACTCAACATCCATTGGCCGGATACCATCAGCAACAGCCCTCTGTGGGAGGGAACAAACCAGCTTCACGCTGAAGAAGAAATTAGGAAAAGATGATGAAAATGGATAAGACATACACTACGCAAATCATCAAACTGCATCACGAGACAAGCCCTAACTTGGAATCCTGAAGGGAAACAGAAAAGAGGAAGGTCTAAGAACACATTATGTCGGATAATAGAAGCAGATATGAAAAGGATGAATAACAACTGGAAGGAGCTGGAAAGGATTGCCCAGGACAGGGTTGAATGGAGAATTCTGGTGAGCGGCCTATGCTCCTCCACGAGGAGTAACAGGCGTAAGTAAGTAAGTACAACACTGAACTGTACGGTAGTCTACACACAGAGCAGACTGCTTTTATTTGCTCAATGGACAATCACAGATCAGTACCATACGACGTATCAAAGGCTTCACGAAAGTCTTTCACCTGATATTTTCCAGTCTACAAAACCCATGATAAGTTGAAATATTTAAATAACTATTTTTAAAAATTCTAAATTTATTGGGAAGCTGGTCATTGTGGTAATTCAAACTTGTGAGACATAACCACCAAATGTGATGAATATACTTAGATTACATATAATCAATAGATATCTTCGCAGGACTTCTTGTATATTGGGGCAATCAGTGGTATTGACAAAGGTAGACAAAGGTTTTATAAAAGCTCATACAACTGGAAATAATAAGTTTAAATGACACTTACTTTAAGTGGAAACTGTAATTGCTTGTAGACTTCTGATAATAATGAATTATGGTCAATAGTTTTACGCGTTTTCATAATTCGTACAATACAACAATCTACATGAGCAACACGATCAGCAAACACCCGTTCTTCAGTAGCCACTTGTTCTTGTTCCTAAAAGAAAGGAATGTATATGTCCATATTTTGAAGATATAGACTATCTCATGGATTGTCACGATTCAATTTACTGATGAGGTGTACTAAGATTAAGCCAAACAACTTACATTCACATTGAAATTGAAGTGCTAACTTAGTAAACGAAAATATAGATATGATTTTTTATGATGAAAAATATTCTTATTATGTCTAAAATATCGATGCACTGTATGATTAATTTACATTCTATTTGAATGACTACTGTTCTTCAGTGACGAAGCTTTTGATAAATACAATTTGATTAACGATTCGAATAAGTTTCCAGGCCCACAGTATACACTGAAATTGAGGATAGCTAATTACACTACTCAGTTTGATTTTATAATCAAATGAATTAAAATTTAACACTATTTAGTCACAGGGGATAGAGTTAACTATCTACAATTACTTTTTCAAATGATATAAATGGTACTTGAGTATTTAGTATGATATTACAATGTTATCAACCTGATACACAATATATTCGTATCCACTTAGCTTTTAGATTAAACATTTTTTAACGTTACAACAAATATTATATCAAATAAGTCATTGATCAGTTAGAAATGGCAAACAGTCCAAACTATGAATAAACAGTGAACATTTGTTAGTTAATATTACTTTTTATTTACCAAATGTCAATCACTGAGTTTACTTTAAACAAGCTAGAAAGTATTTCTAGGCTTTATAGAAGGTTATAGGTAACACTTGAAACATAATTCAATTCCCTACTTTCCAATACAATTTCTACACGGTCATGGAAATGTATCGGCGATGATAATTGTATACAGTGATAATCCGTTAGTCAGATTAACCATTACATTAAATATCTTAGCAACACACGAATATGCGAATAACACTGAGATCAGTGCTAAATCGTTTCAAAGCAATCGACATGAAGAACTAATGAGTAAAAAGAACCTTACAGTTTCTTTTAGTTGAACCTGATTGAATTTGATACGCGTAAGTCGATGATGAAATTCGGTATTGAAAACAAACTGATGATCGTTTTCAATCTCTAAATTCTACAATAAAAATGAAAAGAGAAAAACACATACAGATCACAAATAAAAATATTCCTACTTCAAAATACTAGCTACAACTGTTTGAAAGTTAATGATAACACTTAGCTGCCCAGATGTCCTTGAGTGAAGATTGAAATCATAGGTTAAGTAGTTAAAAATTAAATATGTTATTCACTATAACATTTTTTACAGAAAATAAAATAATGAAAAGAATGTGTCCGACTATAAACACATTAATATGATGTGATAGAGTAACAAAGTATTAGTTTAGGTTAACTCATCACTGTTATCTGGTTGTTTAAAATGTTAAATTGTAGTGCCCTGAAGGTATCGAGAGATATGTAAAAAAATAGTAAAACAGAAAGGAATGGAACAATAATTATAAAAAATAGAAAAAAACTACTTCTGGATCACTGTGAACCTACATTAGAATCCATTTATAAGTTATTTATACCATTGAAGTGTGAAATTCTTTACCGCATAAAAGGCGATAAAATAGGCTGAAACATTTCAAGTTAAAACCATTACCTTACAATCAGGATTCCATGTTACGAGGTAACTTGTGTTATGATTACTTTTAGCTAGTACATATTGCACGAGCTGAGAATTCATACATAAATGAGTGCTCGAATTACAGTAACCATTTTGTAAGATAAGATCACTAACTAAATAATAATTTCCACCATTTTCAAACACATCACAAGACCATAGGGTTGCTCCACAAGGGTGTGAACAGCATTATAGAAGTCGTAGTAACAGCGAATCCTTGATTTTAAGAGACTAGGTGTGATATACTTAGTACAGAATAGGTGATATTGAATGAATAGTCACCCGATCCTTAGCACCCAGAACTAATGTCGTATAGGTGTAGTTTGATCTACACAAAAATTAATTACGTTGATTGATGTCATATGAAGATTAACATTAAAATCTTGGTCAGCACCTGAACAACAATCTAGATGCAACTTCGCAACTGCTTAAAAGGGGAATACAGATACAGGTTTCTGTTAATCGAATAAAAGTACTTTACATTAAATATACAAACGAACGCTAACGATCAATTGATTAAGTACGGGTAATATGGCCTATATAATGTCGTCAAACTAAGAGGAAGTCACGATGATAAATAAAATATTTGTAACAATATGAAGAAGATACAACAAGACATGCGATAAGACAATGATCAGAAATGTATCTGCTGCAAAATCTTTATTTGCTTTCCTATTATGTTATTACAAATTCACCTAAACTCAGTTTCAGTGAAATGCTATGCTAAAATTGGAGTTTACAAACACTTATACATTTCGAGTTTTATGTTGTGTGATAGAACCTGGTTAGAAAACCATTGGAGACCAGGAAGCATTGGAAAGTTATTCCGTCTCAGTATGAGACTCCACAAGGGTGCGGCATACACGACCGCACCAGTAGTCAAACGCAGAACGTTCAAGCCTCATGGCGAGTGCGCTCAAACTTCAGATTTATAGACTAAGATATGCGAGTTGCAGTGGAAAGTACAAAAAAATACCGATAGAAAATAGTTTACTTACACCAGGAGTTTTTTTCAAAACACGTTGTCCTTTACCAGCAGCTAATGAAAGTAATGTTCGTTTCAATTCTTTTTCTTCGATACCAGTATTTTCAGCTATCGTTGTATAAGTAATAGGAGCATTATCTGATTGATTGAATTGCAGTAACACTAAAGCTTGTAGTTCAGATACTTGTAATTCTTTACGAAGATTTGGTGTCTAGACAATGGAAAGAAACCAAGATGAAAACAAAGGAATAGAACCGTAACAATTTTGTCATGTACTGAGATTAATAAGCATGGTCACTTGGTCAGTCACAACGTAGGATCTACAATTATTTACATTGATTTAAGTTGCCGTAACCCGTTAGCACAAAGATGAAACCATCAGGCAAAATCTCAGAATACAAGAGATAGTATTAGTATGAGTGGTAATATGAAAAACTAGGCATCGAAGATACGGCTTCGAAAAGAAAATACAAATTAGTGAATTAAAAGCACAAGCGTTATGAGGAATTTAGAATCTCAGGATTTGAGGAGAGACAATGAATGAATGCACCTGTATCATCGTAAATGATTTTGAGCCGCGTCAGCCAGAGTGTCTAACCATTGGGTACGAGAATTACCCGAACCCCAACCAGGTAGTCTGTACTAACTAACATGGCTAAGTTCAGATGTCAGTAACTTTATGGACTGATGCTATGTTCTGGTTTGGCCGCCCCTACCTTTCTTCTAGCCTACTCCTGTACTAGAAGACACCACCTATTGAAGTAAGAGGGTAGACAAAAACAGTATTGCTTTTATGTCTGATAAATAAATAGTTGCTTTTAATCCAGTAAAAAAAATACCAAACTTAAAATAATTGATAACATTCATACCACGTGTATATAATGTTCTAATGAATTGGAAACAGAACATGATGACTAGCATACAATAATTTGAAAACATGTCACTTATGCTAGCCAACGATGACAAAATACACTGAAACTAGAAGAAAAATTGTCGGATGAATGTGAGACAGTTGAAAATATTTAGGATTTGTTTAACTGAATTATCAACACCTCAACAAGTAATTTCACTTGATAATTCTACAATTTCTTATATAACAACAATATCTGTACACATCAGAGTTATCAAATGTGAATATTTGTAGAATAATATTTACATTGTAATAAATGATTATCGATTCTGTGTGAGATATAATAGTAGAGAAACATTCTGATTACTCCTAACTCAGTGACCAAATAAACGTAAGTTTGTATCATCGAATTATAGCAAAAAATTTTGTGCGAAGGTTAGAGATAAAACCCAAATTGTAGTTGATGGAGCATGTTTGAACATTTCTCCAGCCAATAATTAAAAAATAAGTATTCTAATCATCAGGTTGCTATTCCACTTAATCATATTGAAAATAAACGTAATAAATATTCTACTGAAGAAAATAAGTAGCTACATATATCACACACTGAAGAACAAGTTTTACAAGATATTGAAGCGTTTCAACTATGGCAATCAAAACATATGCTGATTTAGTAAAGATTAAAATCATATTCACATCAGATTATATGATATCGGCAACAGAAAAGCTACTTTACTGAGCAAGTAAATAATACACTGATGAAAGATTCGGAATATAAACAGCCGGAAAAAAAGCAACTTACAATATTTATTTACATAATATTAGGAGCAAGTATCTGTTTACAGTAAAAGTAAAAGTACTTGCTATTAATTTCGATTTCAATATAATATCGACAGTTTGAAATGTCAGAAAACTAATCACTAGACTTGATTAACATACTGTTTAAATAGACGCCTTAATATTATTAGTATTCATTAAAGGGATTAGATTAAAAATGGGAGACCTCAATGTTAGATTGCTGGAGAGAATCGTTAAGAAATCCTAGACACATCAGTAAAGTCATTTACAATCTTGAATTAACTGTTATTTCTCATGACATTTGAACTCGTATTACGGTTAAAGACGTTACTGCCAACGAGTGATTTGTGTCACGACTGACCATATAACAGTCTACCTAAAGTTGAACAGCAAACGGTGACATTTTATTTATTTAAACACATAAACATTGGTACAAGGACTCACCAACTGGACATGCTCCACATAAATCATTCGATTTGTGTGAAGGTTGAGATACTGCCCGGGCGCCCAAACCGAAACAGGTGGTTTTCTTAGGCGGCCACACCTGGGTCCTTTGACCTAGAGGTCTAATCCACAAGGCAGTGGAACAACTTAAGGAGGTGAAATCCCGTAGTAGCTGGTGACCAACAATAGGTTTATGCATCACTTTTTTCCTTAGGATTTTCGAGCCCATGTGCAACATTGGTTTGACATCAGGGTTTTTCAGCTCCCATAGGTGGATCCTCCGTATCCACCAACCCCGTTGAAGCGCCAGATATTCGTGGCCCATTTGAATATCTGAGATACATGTTCCTGCCATCTGGATATTTCAACAACTTATCTGTTTTCTTGTTTGTTTTAACACATAATTATGCCTATTGGTCTCATAACCTATTCAGGTGCGTTTGTGAAACGTTTACGACATTTCGCTGTACAAGTTACAAAAGAGCCCAATCACAGACATCGTGGTTGCTGGTAATATTCATCGAAAAGAATATACATTATTCAGATGTCGATTCTTGGACTGCTAACACCTAACTGGCGACTACTCAATATTTATCGCAAGGATCGATCAAGAAATAAAAAAAATCAAACTTGTTGAAATACTTTGTGCTAAGAATTCTATATTGTACCTGTAAAATGTGATCGATAGACGAACCCATCAATAATAAAGGGAAACGCCCACCACCACATGAACTCCTTTTGACCTTGTACGACTGTATCTCTTTATTAACAAATAACAGTTTAATGTTCATTGTAAAACAATATTTGCTTGTTGACTCATTTTTTCCTATCCTCTGGCTACTGTTCGGTATGTTATTTGTCTCTGTTTTTCCCTGTATTAATAGACCGTACTGTTTGTTTGTACACTAACGATGTTTATTTATGTTTTAGAAACAGATAGTTTATCTAGCCAAATAGCCTGCTTGTTCTGACTTTAGCCAAGCCAAGACTCTGTATTCGACGGTCTAGGGAATAGCTCAGAATTAAACCTGTAAGAAATTGCTTCCTACAGTACCAAAAATGTAATATTCAATAGAGCCAATAATAATAATTTTCATCCTCTCAATTTTGTAAACAACACCCCCGCCGCGAAATGCAGTGAGTACGACTTTCCTGACAGTAGCTGTATACGCGTGGCCATGTGAGAGCATTTTGAGAGGTAGAGCTGACTCTCCCAACTCTCAGCCGTACCAGGGGACTAGTCTCTTAGACTAGTGTATACATCAAGACTTAGTCGATTGCGTAAAATCGAAACTAAAAATTATATAATATGGAAATGGTCACCATAAAGTGACCAATTAGTATGTAAAACTTGAGAACATCACGTAAAGCGGATTTTAAGCTTAAATAAAAACAAACATTATAGAGAAAACCCATAAATAAGAATTATAATCAAAGCTTATAGCTTAAAATGATGATTGTGACTGGTCTCTTATCCACTAGAATAAACAAATCAGTAGCTTGTATCTGACTGTTTAAACAATCTTTACACACGATTTTTTTTCAGGTTCAAAATTATTTCACGATAAATTTCAAACATTTGAACTACATGTTCATATTCAATTACGCACGATTTACTTAGCTTACCATCGGAAATATAGCTTTTACAACACACATTCCTAAAGACGGTTCATATATCAGCTTTCGACCTTGGTGATGGGATAAATAGAAGCGCGTAAATTCCTCTCGAAGAGCCACCATCTAAAACAACAGAAAAGTTGTACAAAATCGAAATAAAATAACCCAAATTACTATAATAAATATTTAAATGAATATAAATTACTGATGGGAACTTTGAATCAGTCTCAATATTATACAATACTAATGTGTGGAAAGAAAAACAACCGTTTGCTACAATGACGAATGGGAATGTCTTAGTCCTAACTGGTTGAACCATAAGTTCAAATCACTAAGCACACAATACGATTAAAGAATATAAGATGTCAAATGCCCGTTATTTTAAATATTATTATGATGGTAAGGAAGAAAATAACGAAAAACTCATAACACTTTACAATCATACTTCGATTAGTCCAGTTTAACAGTACGTAAGCATCAATTAGCTATATAAATGGATGAACCATACGAGTTTTATCTGCCTTATAATATGAGGAAAGTAACACATCGGCGTTTGTTATTACTAAGGTGATACGTCATTGAAACAGGATTGGCTATTTATAGGCATCCTAATTGTGCAAATTCTTCGGTGAATGTTCTGTCTGAAACTAGGCATTCATACAAAAAACGTATACCAGTTATTTCACAAATACAGAAAAAAAATCGTTAACGTACTTCAAAAGTGGTTGAAAATGTTCAATGGTAATAGTCTGTCGGCCTACAAATAACAGTTAACTCGACTATACTGAATCAGATGTATTCAATTATTTTATAAGTATATAATTAACTGAAACTATCATTTCCAGTTAACTCCTATTCGTTTTCCCATACATCCTTATTATATCTCGCTTTTTTCACACTTTCCCACTCACTTTATGGTACTGTGAAATGACTCACATTAGTATAATCCTTTGTTTTGTCTGACTTCAAATGGTATTGACAAGTGAAGTACAGGGCACTGCTGAGGAGTCCCATACCAGGACGAAACGGCCGTCCAGTGCTTCCAGGTTTTCAATGGTGGTCTAGCTTCAACTGACTCATGATTTCAACCTGTGAATTTTTTTAAACTCTCCACAAAACCCATTCTGATAGCAATCAGTTAGTTTATAAAATATTTTTCACAGATAATACTCACTTCAGGGGGGTAATTGGCTGTTGTCTGTGGATACGGTGGCCAAGATGCTGGACAAATCACATTTACGCTTAACTCGATCGCATGAGTATCAGGTAAAGATAAACGGAAATTTTTACTTAACTGCTTGCTTAATTCGATGTCCTGAAACATTGTTTCCATTTTGCGTGTATAGTTTGGTCCACATTCTATAAATATTTTTAAAGAACCACGAATAGAAAAAATGAGTATAATCGTAATTCTTTAAATTTCAGATAACTCTAAAAACTAATAATACAAAATAAAGAGACGTACTTTTCTGAACTGGCATTTCGTGAGATCCCCTCTATTTCAGTCGAAGACTATACGAAATAAATCAAATTCTTAAAAATACGTAATCAAGATGAATTTAGCTGATCGCAATCAAATAAATGACTGCAAAAGCGAATATCTATCCCATCTATAAATATTTTGATACCTTAAAATCGTTTGCAATACTTATTACTTTATACCTAGATCTTTAGTGATTCCGGATTGAATATTTCTAACCCACTCTTAAGATTTCTTAAGCTAGATTTATATTATTTTTATTATAGCCAAAGGCAATTTTCATCACTGATTCACTGTTTCAGCACGTTGTTCTGATGTCTGACTACAAATGAGGTTGTAAACAAACTATATACAGTAGGTTTTAGCCAACCTAATCTTCTTTGATGCTCCCAATAAAATATCTACCTAAGATTTTATTTTTGGATTAACCTAGGCTAAGAAAGGGTATATAGTGTCCACATCTACTGTTCAAGGAAGTAAAACCCTGTCAGTATCAGAAGGATGAAATAATTCAGAAGAGAACAAATAAACAATTAGTTGGTCGACTTATCAGAGAACTAAGAAATTCAAGTAATTTCAAGGTCTTGCAATAAAACTCCTAATTATATCGCGGTTAACATATACAAATGTACTTAGTGTGTTTTGAATCACATTTGTGTTTTGGGCAGTGCGACTAACAACTCCAAAGAATGAGAGTAGGGATGATAACCAATGGTGTTTGTGAGTATATAGTAAAGATGGAGTCAGTTTCGAAACATTCAACAACAAATACACATTACACCATAATATCGACATAATAAGTAATATCAGCATCAAAGCCTAAAGTGCCAACCTAGAAACCACCAAGTGACCAATTTTAAATAAATCTATACAGTGAACATATCAATCTCCTTGCAAAAATGAACGCTTACATTAATTAAAACAGTTCCAAAATCTTTCTCATCAGAAACAAAATAATAATAACATTTCAGGCAAGACGTTAGATCCTGAATTCTTACCTTGTTTAAGTTTCGATAGCATGGCTTTCTCTGCATCAACTGATGCACTTTTATTCAAAAGAAGACGTTTTGCTAATTCTTTGGTATAAAATGCTTCAAATATATCTTTTCCATCGATGAAACGGAACAGAATCATAGCCTGTGATCAGAATAAAGAAATTTGTTAAGAATGTTTCTGCAGTAAACTGACATTATTACTATGAATATTTAAGTATAAGATATTATTTACATCTTATATATGACTGTTATATCCGAACAAAAAATAAGTCAACGGTAACTACTAGGAATTATTTATGGAAAATTATTACACATATTCGTATTGGATGATTATTAATTACCCAGATTACATATATATTCATATTCCTTTTATCATAAGCTATTGTTATACGACTTATCATCCTGAATTAATTCGCAATCTATTAGTTACAGTCTCCTATATTCACAGCCACTTTTGGCTTGATTTCGTATCATAATTATTTTTCACTTTATGGTGTGACGGGGTCTGGTTTGCTTGTATATAAATATACAATTTATACAGTGGAGGCCGATATTTTAGTTCTGACTCGAATGGGCTTAGTAGACGAGAAGCTAATATATGTAGGACTAATAAGGATTCAGAGTTGACTCAAGGCTGTTCGTGCTGGTTAACGCGTTACTGGTTTAGCACGGAGACAAGGTCATAGAAGTCAGTATTCCAAATGACGAATCCGTCACGTGATATTTGAAGAGGCATAGGACATATAGATTTATCAAGAAATGGATAGATTTGAAAAACAATCAGTGGCATTTACAATTGGCCATATGACTAAGGAGAATATCTTTAGGTAAAATGAAATCAGTTGGAAAAATAGCTTTAAAAAACCTAGAGGCAACCATAAGTTTTACGAATGGGGTAAACCACTTTTCTGACATTCGAATTCGCAGATAAAACCAAGTTAGACATTTAGTCAAGCATCATTAATTCGGGCAATTAATTGATATAGAGGCTCGTTGATGACAGAAACAAGAATACTTATTATGTATACCACTTATTCACTACAATCTAGAGCATATTAGTTCTGCGAATGTAAACAATGAAACTCAACGGTTGAGATTCGAGTATCTGGAACAGAATTCCAACATTTAATAACAAGTTAAGAAATCAACCAATAAAATAATCATAAGGGTCAAGTAAATTAGAATCGTGCTACTATTAAAATATTTAGTCAATAGATAGTTGTTTGAAGAAATATCAAGAATAATAGTCAAATCAGTCATGACAGATGACACATTAAATGTAAAATGTTTCACGAAAAAAACAACTAATGATTAGAAAACGACATAATGTTTACCTTATCCATTAACTTGTCCAATTCTTCTTCTGTTTGTGCTTTATTTCCAGATCTAAGATGAGAATCAAGATATTTAGCTAGAAACTCAGCCGGTTTGTTCGGACGTTGATTGATAAACTCTTCATAGGCTTCTTGTAGAACACGCATAAAGCTGGGATCATTTGAAAAGCACGATACAGTAATTTCCGAAAGAAAATCCCGTGAATCTAATAAATTTTGGATCATATTGCGATCTTTTTCAGGATCGTGTGTTGGATTTTCCACCATTTCACGACCCATTTGTATGATATAATTACGGAAATGTGTCCGCAATTTTTCTATACCATTGGGAACTCGTGAAACTAAAGAAAACAGTAAAGATAATTGGGAAGTTTGTTTTGTTTTCAATGGATTAACTAAGCCATTATCCAGTAGATAGTCTAATGGACGAGTTAATAATTCCGAAACCAGAGTTGACATAAGCAAATGACGAGTTGAATTAGCATCTAAATACACAACAAGTCTATCTTCTTCCTCAATGATCCTTTTGTCCACATGTAACAAATATTCAGGAACACTAAGTTGTCTAGATAGGGTATCTGCTTCATAAGCGTAGAGTTGTTGACTTTTACAAACAAATTCTGCGAGGAATATTGAATCATAGAGCTAAGCAAAGAAATAAAAACGGGTACAACTAAGTAAACAGATCAAAATGTCATAAATAATAAATTATTTCTCCAAAAATATCTTGTTTTCTACTCGAATATCTACCCCAATTTAGTTGAGCATTAAAATTTTCCCATAACGGCATATTTAGTCTTGAGTCAGTTTACAAAAAAAGTTGGTCGTAATAACATTTCCAGAAATATGCTAAAATGGTACGAAGAATGAAAAGACACATGCGAATTGACTGACATAGCAATTCAGTTAGCTTTGTGATATGTAATCAGGTTTACAGAAATATATGTTAACGTAGAACGCTACATCAACTTAGGTGTTTTATGATACTAAACTTTAAATCAATGGTAGACTGTAGTGGCTGGTCTATGTCGAGCCCACATAGCTTATTCTAGTTTCTAGACAAACCAACTTAACCATATTCCTCAAGTTGCATTTTGGCCTTGTTATTTATTCGCTTGTCAACTTTGACTCTTTTTATGTAAGCCCATGTGTGCGCATTTCTTATCTTATTTACCACATGCCTGTAACTTATTTTTGTTCAGCTCTCAATATCGATTGACACTTAATAAAATCGAGTTGATTCACATGCCTTATCCACCGTGTATCATTTCGCTTCCCTCTCGTCTCTGCTCCCTTCGCTCCGTCTCTCTGATTGTTTGTTCTGATCAACAATTGTACAAAATATAAGTATTCAAAACGTCATTCTCGTATTTGACTTATTTAATTCCGTTGTACATTAACGCGGGTTAAGTCGATGATTATACACAAGGATTGATGGTATGTATATTGCAATAACAATCATCCGTACGATCTAACTGGAATTAGGTATCAGACCACTAAGAAACAAAAACTGGAAAATACTAAAATAAACAGGAAGAAAATAAACCGAAAACAAAATAAGCAAAGAGTAATCCCGCTTCCCTTTTCCTTTTACAACTTAATACCAGGTTGGTCAGCATCCAGGTAATCTCTTGTGTTGATGCAGGTTCACAATCTTACCAACTATCTTACCCTCCATAAAAGATATTGTACACCTAACGGTAGCATTGAGTCCATGGTACTAACATAAACAAACAACACGTTGAGAATAATGATGACTGTTCTAACGTTCAAAGTGAATCAATTCCTGTCGACCACAGAAAGTAATATTGTCAGACGACAAAATCACAAAATGAACTAAGTTTGTGGTTAAAAGGAATAATAAAAAACTGGGTCTAGGTTTCATGGAGAAAATAGAACAAGTGTAATACATCAAAATGAAGTAGTTAACAACTTATAGTCCTTGATGAAGCAAGTTGTTAAACGAGGCTTCCCACTAGCCTCCAAAAAATCGTAATCAAACTATCATTATCCTAGTAACATCACATGCTTAAAGCTTACACTGGAACAGTTAATTAATCAAAAGCATGATGTTAATGACTTAGAGAGAAGTGACAATGAAGCAGTCAGGCATGACGATTCATGAAAATAGCAAATCACATATTCTACATTTATAATTGTTCATCATATGGTTTGTTCAAGGTCATCACAACCAGCTCGCAATAATAAAATCTCATTTTTAACGATTAAATATCTAAGAGTTGGTTAAAGCTTGAACGTATATTACTTTTAGAAAAGTAGGACTGAAGAGCACCACGGTGTGAGCTCAGTAGCTACAACACTACATCATCTAACCAGCATTAATGACTAGAAGTGAAAATTACTAGTATCCACCAACCAGTTAGTGTGGATTAGGCATCAGTTTCTCGCAAGTTATAGACACACTTTTATGTTCAACACTTATACCTGTTACCCGTCGTGGTAGAGCATAGGCCGCCTACCAGCATTCCCCACCGAACTATGTCCTCGATAATTCTTTCAGTTGTTTCCAGTTTTTGTTCATTCTTTTAATGTCTGCTTCCGATTCCCGAAAAAATATGTTCCTTGGTTTTCCTCTTTTCCGTTCCCATTCAGAATTCCAAGTTAGCACTTGCCTCGTGATGTAGCTTGATGATTTCCGAAATATATATTTCCTAATTTCCTCTTCAGCTGGAAGTTTATTTGTTCTGCTGCTGATAGTATCTGGTCAACGGACATCAAGTATCTTGCGTAGACAACCGTTTACAAATACTTGTACTTTTTTATGGTGACTGTAGTAGTTCTCCAAGTGTTAGCTCCGTATAGTAGAACTGTCTTGACGTTCATATTGAAGATTCTGACCTTGATATTGGTTGACACTTGTTTTGAGGTTCATATGTTCTTCAACTGTAGGAATGCTGTCTTTGCTTTGCCAATCCTCATCTTTATGTCTGCGTCAGATCCTCCTTGTTCATCGATGATGCTACCCAAGTACGTGAAAGTCCACAACTCTTCAGAGCTTCTCCACCAAGTGTGATTGGGTTAGTGTTCCTCGTGTTGTGCCTCAGGATCTTGCTTTTTCTCTTGTGTATGTTGAGACCTACTGACGCAGAGGCTGCTGCAACACTAGTTGTCTTTACCTGCATTTGTTGATGTGTATGGGATAGAAGAGCCAGGTCATCTGTGAAGTTCAAGTCGTCTAGTTGCACCCAACATGTCCAATTTATTACGTGCTTCCCTTGAGATGTGGAGGTCTTCATAATCCAGTCAACCACTAGAAGGAAGAGAAAGGGGGAGAGTAAGCATCCTTGTCTAACTCTGGTCCTTACTTGAAATGAGTGTCGACTGTCTCTCCATGCACCACTATGGTGTAGTCCTTCGTATGAATTCCGTATGATGTTGACGATTTTATGAGTTACACGATGGTGTCGAAGAATTTTCCATAAAGTCCTCCTACTACACTGTCAAATGCTTTCTCATAGCCAAGGAATTTGATGTATAGTGACAAGTTACATTCAATTGACTGTTCAACGATAATCCGTAGCGTGGCGAGCAGGTCTGTGCACAACCGATCCTTACGGAGTCCGGCCTGTTGATCGCGATGTTGGGTGTCTACTGAATCCTTCATCTGCTTTAATGATATTGACTACTTGTAAACATGTAAGACATCAAAAAATATGTGGTTAAATAATTCCTTTCTGGAAACACTGAGTTACCCACATAAATCAACCGCACAAATGAAGTTTGAGTACTTTGTTATTAACTCTAGTATACAAGATAACTTAAAAAATTTTTGGACAATAATGGAACTTGATTCGACCTTAACACCGTGTATTCGTTTCACTCCTTAGATAACAAATATAAATTGTTTCAGAAAATGAATATGTGTAGTCAAGAAATTAAGTGCAAGGTTCTTTTATATTCAATTGACAGATCCTATAGAAGAACGTGGGTCTATGATGTATTTTTATTAAAACCGTAACCAACAGGGTCGTATACAGCAATTCCTGTCACATTATAGACACTAAAGCTTAAATAATCCAAACTTACTTTTAAATCCACCAACATTCTGATGACAGTACGTAAAAGTTGTCGATCAATAGCTTCTCCACATCGTTCTTTATGTATTTCATCCAGTATTTGACACATCAGACGGGATTGAACTTTCTCCTGAGTGATAACATCTTCTCGGAACAACTTAAGAGCTAGATCCCTATGCAAATATTAAAAAACAAGCAATGATTATTACAAACAACTAAAACTCCTGACAAAGTATAATAAAATAAATTCAATTGCATAAACGACACAATTCATGCAGAATTTTTTATTAAGTTCAAAATGTACGAATTTATATTGGTAAATTTACGAGTGGGTAGAATGGAAAAATGACATTATACACTCAAACATTAGCGTAAGCAAGTCTCCAAATATTGAATATGACAATTAAAAGTTATCTACACTGCATATTTAAGGTGGTTAAACTGTAGGTCTAAATACTTCCTTTAAATAAGCAGAAAAACAATATAGTTTTTCTAAATGATAACTCACTAAGCAGAAAAACCACCTACTAACAGCTTACTGTGTCGATGTAAGTAAATGAGTATCCAAGTATTCGGTGGGGAAATTCATTTGTCAATAGCTTCTAAAGCAAGTTATCTATTTGAATGAAGTACACACCATGCAAAGAGAATTCTTAAAAAATCAAGATTTTTCTGGAAAATCAGTCAGTTAGTCAGCTAAAACGTAGGACCAGGCACATATATACATCGGTCCAAGTTGCCATACCTCATTAACACAAGATGAACATCGGATTCATAAAAGTAGTTAATCCAGAGGTGGTAATATATAAAAGAAGGATTGCATGTAAGGATATAGTACAAGAAGAAAGAATTAGTTCGTAGAAAGATATGAAGCGATTTTAATCTATCCGTTTAAGGGAAGACAGAGAGTGTAGCCCTGGAAACAAGGGAGTTAGATACCCAAGGAGCAAATAACCGATATTTTCGTATGACTTAGCAACAGTTACAGTGTCTAGGATTTTAACTTACTGCTGAAGTAGCCAAAAATTTATTTTCCAGTACGGGGATTTACAAAATATGAATTGATTAAGTTAATTAGATCAACTGAAAGGACATTTCGTAACAATGATGACTGCTATAAAACTGTTGTAGACTCAAAGCTTAACTTTATCCTGACAGGAATAACGAATAGCAAAAATTAAGAACTATAAAAAGTAAGATCGATAAACGACACTAACACGGTACCTGTAACAATGGAACATCGACTACAACTGTCAAACCCCATACAAATAAAATGGAGCAAAAGCAAAAATATTGACCATCATATTGATGATTTGAAGAATGGTAGAAAAAAACTCAAACGTAACTGATTTCCGTAATTTCATACACTTAGTTCTTCATATTTTCTTAAAGAGAGCAAAATCGAGGATTTGAACAGAATAACATGAATTAATTTTATTTCGAAAAATCCTCATCAGCTTACAATCTATATTTTTAGAAAACCAAAACTGAGATAAGGTTTACATAATTATAATAATAGAAATGGAAGTGTATCATCACGGTGGAATAGTAAGATTGAAGACACATAAAGTGTTGTGTGTGAAGGAAAATTCAGGATCACCAGACATAATAACAAGAGATCATAGAGATGAAATGATCATATGATGAAGAAGCCGAACATTAATTAATAGCAATTGAGAATAACACGAGTTAAATCAGTTAAAAATAAACTTATGAATTCGAAATTGATGCAGTTTAAATAACAGGAAATAGCAAAAATGATGTAACAAGCTGACGATAAAATTATTATGCTATAGGCAAGATTTGAAACTATTTCCTTTCGGATAAATAAGTCCAGCTTGAGGCGGTTGATAGCTATAGCTTCTGCGAATTCAAAAACAATGAAATTTGACTGTCAGTTGGTGCTGAAAAATTTCAGTTTATCAGCCTAACAACTTATGTCACAAAAATGTTTAACAATAACACTGTTGAAAGCCGTTAATCCCCTATGACCTGAAACTTTTTGGGGTATGTTCTTGGGATCGAATGTAGGCTCTTCTTTGCCTTAGCAATGACAGCTTTGGCAGGTACACATGCATTTGTATGCGCAGTTGAGGGTAACACAAAAAGAGCATTTACTGATATTTGATAGGAATAGTCTTATACAGGACAGTCATCTGAGCTGTAGTACAAGTTCTGGTCAGTGTGGTATTTATTCCGTTTATTTTCATTGCAATATAGACACTCTTGAATCTAAGTTGAGAGAAAATAGGTTTTATGACGATTGTAGTTTTTTTAGGTAGTCTTTACTTTTCTATATTTCTAAATAAATTCCTGTGGAAACCTGTTGTCCCCTGGTCATTTTCTAACGTTCATTATTTAACTCCTAGTGAATTGGTAGTAAATATCATTTTTAATCTGTGGAAGTGTTTTGACAAGTGCCTTTTGTTAACTAATTGGAGAAAAGCTGCTAAAATTCAGATGAACACCACTCCATGTTTCTCTTCGACAAACTGAACGTCGAACTGTACCATCCCCCATGCGTTGTATGACAATGTCGACAAAGTTGAGCTTACCATACTTTTCCTGTCACATAGTAAGCTTAAGTTTTATGAGCATCTTTGTAGAGGTTTGGCAGGTGTTTCGCTTGTTGTAGATTATTACATATAATAAAAGTATCGTCAACATACCTTGCATAATAAACCGTTTTATAAATCGATCCTTCAAGCTTGGTCTTTTCAATATTAGCTATAAATATATCTGCTAGGACAGGACCGAATGGACTTTTTATCGCAACGCCTATTCGGCGACACGATGTGATCAAATTGAAACCAAACATCCTTATTTACGGCATTACATGTTATCAGTCTCACTGTTCCACCGTGATGATACACTTCCATTTCTACTATTATAATTATGTAAACCTTGTCTCAGTTTTGATTTTCTAAAAATATAGATTGTAAGCTGATGAGAATTTTCCGAAATAACATTAATTCATATTATTCTGTCCAATTTTTTTATTTTGCTCCCTTCAAGATAATCACTATATCCCTATGCTTTACTCAAGGTATCATTCAACAACGATATATCAAAATAAAGCACTTTACAGTTACCAAGAGGTTAGTTAGCGATGAAGTTCGGTCAGATTTCCATAGCTCATTGTTTTATAAAAATTAGTGCTATCGCAAAAAATGCATTAGGTACTCTATCGATATAAACGGAAAGTAGTTTGCCCTTATTTTTTATCATTATTCTAACCGTAAATCTTACAGTTCTAATGGTAAGTTCGCGACCTTTTAACCGATTACAACGCATAATATGATTCCCTGTATCGATTTTAGTGACTAGTTGGGATCACTAAATACAATACGTAGCATACATTCAAAATATCCTGTTTAAATGAGCTTTCTTTATATTGGTAGGACTGGCAATCTATTGATACTTGGCCAATAACTCCTTTGAGCACTGCTTGAACTAGTTTACGTAGTTAAATGCGATAGCAGGAACTAAATGAAACATTTAAGTGGTAAGTCGAAAAATTTAACACAATCAAATGAATTCGTCCGAATTCCGCACTATCAGAGAGGTTTAGAACAAAACGAGGCTGGAGAATTCCAGATTAAAAGATGGAAATATATAATGAAGACCACCACTTCGTAAAAATTCTACGTAAAAGAATAGGCCATCACGATGAGGAGCTGGAGACATGGATATATTTGGTTGGTTCGGGACCACACATAGATCAGCAGAGGATGCAAGATGTCAATTTCTGCCACTTCCTTTACGTCAACATGCTTACCAATACGTTAAATGTGGATTAAATGTCCAAAAACTGATTGCTAATTATCTATACTGAAATGAGTCATTTTCGTAGATTTTCTGGACATCAAAACCCACAAAAACCATAATTCCTATTTAACTGCATCAAAAGAAAAAGTATTTTGCAGTCAGTCAGCCACAACACAGTACCCGGTATTTATACACATCGGTTTAAGCTGTCATACCCCGTTAGAACATTTATTTATTTATTTATTTGAACACATATATATTGGTGCCCCCCAAATGCCCTGGTACGGCCGAGAGTGGGGAGAGTCCGCTCTCCCTCTCGAAATACTCTCACACGGCCACGCGTATATAGCCTCTACCAGGGAAGTCCTACTAACTGCCTTCTCGTGGCGGGGGTGTTGTTTACGAAAATGAGAGGACGAAAAGCGAATGTCCGGCGCTTTAACCGGTTTCCAAACCAATGGTGCACATGGGCTCCAGTATCCTGCGGGAACAAATGGCGAATGAACCAATTGTTGGTCACCGGCTTCCATGGGACTGCATCTCCTTACGATGCTCCACTGCCTTGTGGATCAGACCTTTGGGTCGAAGGCTCGGGGTGTGGCCCCCTAAGAAAACCACCTGCTTCGGTTTGGGCACCCGGGCAGTATCACAGCCCTCACACATATCGGATGAGATTTGTGTGGCGAATATGTATTTGGTGCCATTATCTATGTGTTGAAATAATAAATAATAATAAATATATATTGGTACATGAGTGCACCAAATATACATGCGCCACACAAGCACAATAAAAATTTAAGAAAAAGAACAATGAGGGACGTAAAAAAAAATAATGAAGAGATTGGTGTGAGGGAATGTAGTAATAATCATAGTCATAATGAGGGAACGGAAAGGTATGAGCAGAAGAAATCTTTCAGTTAAGGAAGAAACAACCACTTTTATGAAGTAAAAGAAGGTTACAGCAGGATCGCCACTGGCTTCTATTCTGAGCCATATCTGATAACGTCTCTGGCCACTGTGTAGCACCATCTCTCGGACCCCAACCAGGGAGTCGAGAAGGACCAACACAAGCCAGCCCTTTGCAACTTTCTTTCATACCACGACACCATGTCATATACTGACCACCTCTCCGCTTTCTCCAACCAGTCCCAGAGTCGGCAAACAATGCACGACGTGGAATTCTCTGGGACGACATTCGTAGAACATGTCCAAGACACCGAAGTCGGTGTTTCAAGATGGTGACACCAATTGAATTATCATCTCTGTGCCCGAACACACGATGCCGAACCTCTGCATTACTGACATGGTGTTGCCAATGAATGTCAGCAATCCTTCGGAGACATCGATGATCGAATACAGAAAGTCGTCTAACGTCCTCAACTCGGAGAGGCCAGGTTTCACAAGCATAGAGCAAAACTGCTCTCACCGACGCGTTGTAGATCCGACCTTTTACAGCCAGACTAACATCACGAAGGCGCCAAAGATGGCCCAGATTGGCATAGGCCGCTCTGGCTTTCACTATACGTGCATTGATCTCATCACTCACACCCCCACCAGCTACCCAGATACACGAACTTCTCGACTACGTCTATCTGCTCATTATCCAGGGTGAGTGCAGGATTGGAATCCTGCCAGTTTTGTAGAAGTACTTTGCACTTCGAAGGTGCAAAGCACATACCATATCTACGGACACTGATTGCCAACTGATTAAGTGCGGATTGCATGCCTTGGGCATTATCGCACAGTAAGATAATATCGTCCGCATACTCAAGGTCGAGAAGTTTTTCCCCAGGCAACAGATCCACACGACCATTACTTACATCCATCAGAGCTGTTTCCAGAATGTCGTCGATGGCAAAGTTGAAAAGGAATGGTGAGATTGGGCAACCCTGTCTAACCCCACTGCTCGAATGGAACAATGGAGCAGTGGGGTTAGGCAGGGTTAGCACAGATATGAAACCATCAGGCAAAATCTCAGAATACAAGAGATAGTATTAGTATGAGTGGTAATATGAAAAACTAGGCATCGAAGATACGGCTTCGAAAAGAAAATACAAATTAGTGGATTAAAAGCACAAACATTATGAGGAATTTAGAATCTCAGGATTTGAGGGGAGACAATGAATGAATGCACCTGTATCATCATAAATGATTTTGAGCCGCGTCAGCCAGAGTGTCTAACCATTGGGTACGAGAATCACCCTGACCCCAACAAGGTAGTCCACACATATTAAGATGGCTCGGTCCAATTTTCAACGACTTCATGAACTGATGCTATGTTTTGGTGTAACTCCCTTCGCTTTGTTCTAATTCACACCTGTATCAGGAAAAATTGCCCGTCGAGATAGACAGTGGGTGTGAATACGTAACAGATATCCTACAAGCCTCAGTTGATGAAGTACTTTTAGATATCCTCTATTCCTAATGGTCATGTTTCACACTCATAAAGTATAGCAGAACGAACCGTTGAGCAATGAACTTTTCCTTTGGTTAGGATACAGATATCTCCCTAACGCAATAAGTGACGCAAGTTGGCAAAGGTAAATCGGACCTATTGAATACATGGCATGATTTTGTCAGTGTGGTGCATCAATGTACCGACATTGGGAAAAAGTAGTCCTGGTCAGCCGTATGAAGTGTTATCTTTGTTCAAAGTGACTGTATTAAACAGAATGCAGAGACAATCCAAGGTTCTGTTATCTCTAAATGAAAATTAGTGAAAAACTCGGGTTTGAGAAAAACATTTCAAAAAGCTACAAACAGCTACCATCCCCGCTACTTTATCCAAACTCCCATGCCCATCTGAAAGTAAGATATAACTCCTACGTCTCAAAAATAGTTATGAATACATTTGATTTTCTTGGGAAATGCCACTAGCTTCTGTTAACATCTGATCTCGTTGACTAACATGAATCAGTTAAGTTATAAGAACAAAATAAACTTGGAATGTGATGTTGTAGGTTTGGAGGAATCAAGTCACATGACTGATGTTATTTTACCCCTCATAAATGAAGTGGATCTAAGAAATGGTTGAAATTTGATATGACATTGTACGTAAGTTAAATGACAGCTGTTGAAATATTCCTTAAAAACACAAATGCCTAGGAATTAGGATTGTTTAGACTGAAATTTCCAAAGAACCGGGCAAAATAGACAGTGCCGGCGAGCTATGAAATAAAATCCACAGGTTCACAGAGGATTTTTATCAAGTATGAAGAAAACTACACAGCCTACTCACCATATTTGTAAGTTCTGAGGATTTAACTGAAGAAGTTGTCTATCCATGAAAAGAAATATATTCCTGATGAGAAGCTAAAACGGTAAGGGAGAAACGAGAGAACAAACCATTTTTTTACAGTATAATCCCCAACAGTGTGCCACCGCGTTGAGTTGGAAACCTACTGTGAAAGCAAAACGTCAAGGTAAAAAGACAAAAGAAGGAAAATGGCAAGAACTTGTCAACAAAAAAGGATATTTTAAGAACTCAGGTTGTAGTCCAGCTACATATTCACTGAATATAGCCTTCAGACTCGAGTACAATTCCATAATCATTTTTTGTGCACATATATCTTCGACATTCTTGAAAAAAATAATCATTTAGTATAAGCTATTAACCCTGTAAAGCTCCTCTAGTGTGGATTCGACAGGCTCGCTGAGAAAAACTGCCTTTGTTGCCCTCTGAAGCTTCAAGCATGAGTCTTGGAATATTTGTGAAGCTGAAGGAAGTCCTTTAACATCTAAAGGTAACATACACATACAACTACCTACCAGAAATTGCCTTTAAGGAAATGCGTTTCGCTGTAGGGCCACAGTGATCAACTGCATGTGACAGTGTTTTTCGGAACCCATTGACTGACGCCTTACACTCCATAATTATTTAGATCATAAAGGCATTACGAAACTGTAGCGAGATTACTTCAAAATACCCACAGAACCGATTTTACATTTCAAATGTGTGTAGTAAGAACAGAAGACCTATAGCCTCTGTTATTCCTTTTCTAGTATACTAATAAGAGTGTCTAGTCTTCTATTCAATGAATCACTTGAAGATGTGGACACCACTGCCTCGGGTAACAGGTTCCAAGAATCGATGACTCGGTGAGAAAATCTGTATGACACTGGTATTTTATTCGTTCCTGGCTTTTCTACTCACCTGACATGTCCTCTGCCATGTCCCGATCTAGTGAGAAGAAAATGATGGAATATGTTAGGTCCAAAATCATTTCTTAATTTTTATACATTAGAATCAGATCACCTCTTAATCTGCGGTAAGGTACAGTAAGGACATCTAGCTTTTCAAGCCGCAATTTGTATAGTAAACTCCGAGTTCTGAAGTTGCACGGGTAGCTGCCCTTTTTATTTTTTTCCAGGCTATCTGAGTCATCTTTTAAACAGGGGCTTGCAGCCTGAACACAGTTCTCAATCTTAGTTCTCACTAAGGTTGTGTGTGCTGTAGTGAACATAGTAGTATCTAACGTGGTGAATATCCATCTTAAAGGCCATGGGGTTCAAAACCTTTTGGTTACAACCTCTGGCAATGGGCCATGGTCATAATATCATGACTCGCTGTCACTCCAGAATCCTTATGAGATCGGGTCACGGGTACAGACACTTCCCTTATGCAGTACCTACTAAGCTTTGTCGATATGCGAGTCCGGTACTTAAGCCGTAGGTCCACATACTTTATCACTGTCTATAGTCAGTTTCTTTTCAGTGCGCAAATTCTTTTTCCTTGTGACAATGCCTAAATCGGTATGCTTGTTATATGCTCCACTAATGGGGCCTACCTTCATATTTTCACTCAAATGCAGGGCTTGGCTTATGATGACGCTCTCTTGTCTCTCGTGAGCATGAGATATAGATCCTTCATTATTGGAAATAGATGATTATTCGCTTGATCTCTCTAATATGCAATTCTATACACATAATGTTTGAATAGTACATGTTCATTTGGGAAGTTATTCTTCGAGAACTCAAGAATGGCCGAAATAACTGATCTTAGAGAACCAATCCTTGATTTCCGGAGCTTGAAGTTTAGTATCAAACACAAGGCGATATCCGGCTCCTGGTTATCAAGATCCATAATGAATCGTCTCATCAGCACTTGACAGTGATTTGCGCTTAAGCGGAGAAAAATCCTCAAAATAAATAGTTCTTTAAATCGTCAATATTGATCCTGACCTATTATTTTTCTTGAAAACAGTATAGCTGAGGTGCTTGTTCGAGCATCCATACCCGATAACAAGTGAGTACGTTTCAGTGACCTGTTTTTATCACGAGAACACGATTGGTTCAATGAAAACAATTATTATTATAACCAATTGTATCAGTGACTGTTTTAATGTGCTCTTTGTTTAACTGTGCTAATTGCAGCCATTTTGTGCTTCCATTACCTTCCATCATTGTTCCGAGGTTTTCGGCTTTGTCAGCATGTACTCCATTCCCCTGCTCTCGCTTGTACCATTTCTTAACGCGATCTTGGTATTCGTTCGATACCACGAGATCGCCAACTGAATAAAATTGATTCCAATTCGCCTTCTGATTTATTTGGCACGTGTTTCTCGGTAGCGGCGTTCATTGTGATATTCGACTCGACGCCACGCTACAATTGATGAGCAGATTTCTGGAACGCGCCATAAATTTTGGTTTTTTCATCTCAGGAAGTCATCCTGGTGAGTCTATTGTTTTTATATCCACGTCTGTCGTGTATTCTTATGTTAAATCTAAATATATACTATACTCGGCATGATGGATAACGATAAAAGCGGCATAACCAACGTAGACTCTGATGTACAGGCCATCCAGTTTCAACCTGTAGCTTTTATCCCACACGACCCTGAGATTTGGTTCGCCGCACTAGATTCTCAAATCGAGACTAGACGAATTACGAGTCAACTCAAAAGTACGCTTGTGCTCTTGAGTCGCTACTCGGGGATCAGTTATTTGCTTTTCGCGAGGTGGTTCTCAATTCTAACGTCCCCAATGTTTACGATCGTTTCAAAGAGGCGATTCTCCGTCACTTCCTTCCATCCAGAGAGGAACGTTTGAGAACACTTTTAGCAGGTCAATTTTGGGGTGATGCTGAACCTAGTCACCACCTCACGCGCCTGCAATCCCTCGCATGATCTGCAGCAGCTGAATCCGAGTAAAAGCGGCCGTACTTGCCAACCCCTACCCCCAGGTTGGTCGCTTATTCTATGTCCACGATTACCGCACAAACGCTAGGTTCCTATTAGACATTGGAGTCCAAGTCTCTGTCTTCCACGAGGTGGCAGCAAGTCACAAGCTATAGTGCTTCAACTACGCGCTGCGAATGGCTCAGTCATTCCTACCTACGGTACACGACAACTCGCGTTCAACCTGGACAACCGACGATGGTATCTGTGGACGTTCATCGTTGCTGATGTTCCCACAGCCACACTAGGTATCGATTTCCTACAGCACTATTATGTACTTGTCGATTCACGTAGGCTGCAGCTAATCGGTACTTCGTCGAATAGTAAATTCATGGGGTGCAAAGCCCACGCGTACCGAATCCTCGGCACTTTTTACTCGCATGACGATAAATTCCACGCTTTATTCGAGAAATTTCCCACACTAAACCACTGGAGGAGCTTCCATCGGTGACCAATCGTGTGACACAACATATAGTCACGACACGACCTCACCGACTGGCACCAGACAAATTAGGCTTCGCTAAACGTGAGTTTGACAACTTACTTACTTTAATGTAGTTACGCGCTTTGATAGCTACCTCATCACCAACATACACGACATCACGGCATCGCTCAGGGGCACGACTATCTTTTCCAAGATCGATCTGGTACGAGCATATCATCAGATCCCAGTCGCTCTAGAAGAAATCGAAAAAACTGATATCACGACTCCTTTCGGTTTGTTTGAGTTCCTACGAATGCCATTTGGATTACGGAATGCTGCTCAAACGTTTCAAAGGTTTATCGATAGCATTGTACGAGACCTAGATTTTGTTCACGTCTATACTGATGACCTGCTAATCGCATCATCAAACGTAGATGAACATTATCAACATCTTACATTATTATTCCAGCGTCTTTCAGATAATGGAATAGTAGTTAACGAGAAATAATATTTCTGGGTCATGTTATCAGCCAAGAGGGTATTCTACCTTGTGAGGACAAAGTGCAAGCAATAAAGGAGTACAACGTTCCGTCCTCACTCAAGGAACTGATGGCTTTTCTCGGTTTGGTTAACTTCTACCGTCGCTTCATCCCACACGCGGCAGAACGGTTACGACCACTAACCGACCTACTTCGTGGCAACCCACGCAGATTAGAAATGAACGATTCTGCACGTACTGCATTCACAGAGATCAAAACGGCTCTTGTACAAGCCACTATTCTCGCCCATCCCGATCCATCAGCCACTCTTAGTATAGCGGTTGATGCATCCGGTTTTGCTATAGGAGCCGTCATGCAACAAAACATCTCCGGTAGTTGACAACCCCTCGAGTTTTTCTCACGACGGCATACTCCCACAGAGACGAGATATAGCGCTTTTGGTAGCTAACTGTTAGTAGCTCACTGCGCCATCGAACATTTTCGGCACACAGTAGAAGGAAGTCAATTTATCTTATTCACCGACCGTAAGCCCTTAACGTATGCTTTACATACCAAGTCTGACCGCTACTCACCACGAGAGTGCAGACATTTGGACTGTATCTCCCAGTTCACGACAGACCTTCGTCACATCAAAAGCGAGTCGAACTGTTTTGCCGATGCTCTATCACGAATCCAAGAGAATGCAGTTACTCTGCCGGTGCTCGATCTTCGTACTATGGCCGCCGCCCAAGCAAACGATCACAGTTGTACAAACGCACCACACTCTACGTCCTTTCAGTATCAGAAAGTACCCCTAGCCACGACTTCCGGCATCATTCTATGAGATACTTCTACCGGTCTTCCTCGACCCATCGTACCCTCTGCTTATGGGCGTCTCGTATTCGATGACCTGCAAGGATTATCTCATCCAGGTATCGCAGCTAAATTACGTCTCATCGCTGCACGATACGTCTGGCCGTTCATGAATAAAGATGTGTAGAACTTATGGTCTACTATGATATTAGTACTGCTCTAATAATAGACCTAATCCTAAATTTGTAGATTTGTCATGATATGACTGCCTAATCTATAAGATCTTACGTGGAAGTCACACCATCGACTGCACCAACTCACTGTATCGTATCAATTACCAATACATGATGTAGAACAAGGTTAGGCTAGAGAAAGAACAATATATTTAATATGAAAAGAAGATATAAGGTAACATTCAGCAGAGACCACGCCTGCATGGCCGAGCCATGCCGTTCGATCAACTCTAGTCTATTCAATTCATTATTCGCGCCTTCTCCATCGTTAGGTATTTCTTCGCGTTAAATATTGAATACCTATTTTCCGAGTAATCTCGTATTCAGTTTTGAGGATAGTGTGGTTATGGTCCAATGCCACTACACTACTCTCCCACCAGAATCAACGTGGTGTTGGTTCGATACCCAATTGGATGGGACTGTAGTGTGCCGAAGGTTACCAAGAATAGTAAGATTCCTCCGGGTGATGACAAGCTGAAAGATAAATCAAAAAGAAGACGGCAGCATCTGGTCGGGAAATACATGTAATAATTTTAAAATATCTGCCTTCATGCTTAACACGCTTACAATGAAAATTTGAGTGATTATTTGAGCGATAAAAAAATGGGATTACAATAATAATAATAGTAATAATAAAACGATGCGTGTGTAATAGCCGTTGGTTGATAACTTTACGTATAGGTAGTAAGTATTTTGTGTTTAGAAATATTAAAGTTATGAATATTGTAGAAATGTTAATATTAGTACTACTTTTAGTCTAACTTATGAAATCAAATAACGATTATGCCGGTAAGTTGTCCATATGAGTCGATTTCCAATTGCATCTGTATTAGTAGGCTAACTGAAGGAA